CAGTCTTTTAAGATAGAGGTCAAATTCCCTCTTTCCACTCAGTCAATCAGCCACTGACTTAGGAGAGCAAGGAACAATGGAAAATTATGTAATACCACAAATAACATTCGATGCATACTTATTCACTCCAGTCAAGGAAGGCTTAAAGCATTAAAGGTGTCCCTCTACTATAGATCGACTACACCTACATCAAGTCGAGCCTCAGACCCCAGCAACAGTCCTTTGGCACATATCTTTTTAAAGTAAGGAAGGATTCCTAACAGCAACTCCATAGCAACCTCCTTCTACTCACAATAAGGAACGTGGTGAGATGCAGAGAAGAAAAGTAGTAGATCTCCGTTAATTTCACTGGTTTAAGAATATAAATCACATACTTACCCATCGACTAAGTGAAAAAGCCTCAAATGTTAATGTAGAAAACAAAAGAAGAAAAAAATAGTGCATACACACACCATACCAGAATAAAATTATGCGAGAAAGCCACCTCTCTGTGAACCCCTCTGCTTATTCAAGTCTTTCTTGGGTCTGATCTGAGTAAAACTCTAAGAGAAAAAAAATCATGACAAAAAAAAAAAATTTTACAGGAGTTCTTCAGGACTGTTTGATGAAGAACCTGAACAGCTTATAAACCACTGTAAAGTAAATGGGGAGGCTCACAAATTTTGGTTTTGAAGATGATTTGAAGATACCGCATGTCATTTTTTTGTGGCAGTGAAACATAGCCAAAGGAAGCGGCCAAGGTGAGAGGCATCTGAAAAAAGCTGGATTTCCCATCAGCTGACCCCTTGCTAACAATGCAAAAGACTTTCTTGTGTCTAAGTACTAATTCCATGAAGACACATATCTGATGATCCCCTCCAACCCACACCAGTAAATGCCTTGTAAGGCATGTAGAAGGTGGAGAATTATTGTAACATTAAACAGAAAGGATAGCAAGACTGCAGAGGAAAGTATGGTTTTCCATTCAAAGCACTCCTGAAACCTTGCACCTTCTCTGAAGAAAGGACAGGAACTGCTGTCCCACGCTCAGCTTAGGCACAGGCGGTGAGTGACAGAGGGCACTGATCTAACTAAAGGCAAACGAAATAACTCTGTGAAGACACCCACCTGGCCCTAATTTCACTGAATTTGCTGAATGCAAATACCATTTTACTTCAAAGCTACCTGGATTTTGCTTTTTATACAGATATCATCATCACTGTCCTTTAAGAAACAGAAAACAAAACAATCCTAAAGAGATCAGTGGAAGTCTTCAAATATCAGTGATAAACCCCTATTCTCACAGACCCTTTTCCTCAGCGTTCAGAAGGTATATTTCTGTGGGTTCAATTACACTGCAGTAACTGGTTAAGGGAACTGTAATCACATAGAAAAAGACGAATGCATGTGTTCATCTGTGTACATACAATACCCACAAGGCTTATGAAATCCATTCACAACAGAGGAAATACTCTAAACATATTTTAAGAGGCTCCGTCAGCAGTCTCACAGCAAGGCTCATTCACATTTGTAAGTCACGAGGAAAAAGCTGTTTTCTGTCCATGCTGTATGAACAGATTTTGTTTGGTCTACAGCTCATATTTCATTTGCAAGTAAATAAATCATCCTGGCTGAATTAACTGACAAACCACAGCTATAGTATTGAGAATAAGTATTTGATTGGGACTGAATTAACTCTTTGCAGATTTGTGTTCCTGTTTACTCATAGTAGAGCTGCATGTATCAAAAAAACGGATATGTAGGATATTAATCAAATTGTAGTCAAACACGTTTACCTGAAAAAAAATGAAAAAAGAAAAGGATGCAAAAGGAAAAAAAGAAGTGCAAGCCAGTCTTTTTCCCATTTTGCTTTTAGAATTAGTCTGAACACAATGACATCTTGACACTCATTCAAAACCAGATCGGACAGGAGGATAGAGGATAGCGAATCCTGACAAGCTGAAATGTAAATTAAGATGCTTTCAGGTCTTTACATAAGCAGTTTTGTGCCTCTCAGGGAAACTGGTACATAACAACAACTTGAGCTTTATATGAAGTTCCCAGCTTATTTGCAGGCTTAGAGAACACAATAGCACTGGGACTAGATTGTTACTAAACAATGAGGTGACTAGGAGCTGGAATCAATAAGATAATTGTAACAGATATTGTCATTTTACAACATTTTGGAGTGATTCTACATCAAGCAAAGCCCTGTGGGACAATACCAAGAAATGACTATTAGGCATCACATAGTGCCTAAGCTGAACTGAACAGGATACTTCCAAAACTAAAGTGCACACTCTAGTTTAAGGAAAAAAAAAGCATGTCATGGTATAAACCTGCAGCAAGTATTTCCACAGTTCTCTCCAGACACATCCCCCTCCCTTCCTTAAGCTGTCAGGAACTGTTTCCCAAAGCTCCCCGACGACTGTGATTATTAAACTAAACACCACACAGTAGAAAGCAAGCTGGATCTCACTCTGCACACTCCTATTTTAAAGGACGGCAGCAGCAACATTAACATCCTCAGTGGCATTAAAATATGTCTCTCCTTCTGTAGTGGAAAACAAATTTGTTTCGTCATTCTGCTTTCATGTTTCTATCTATGAAAAAAGAAGAATTAAGAAGGACTTTGCTGCAAGTCCTATTAAGTGTTCACCCTGTCATCTATAGTATAATCTATTTACGTAACATTTTGTAAAACTGTATGGAACAATCTTTTCCAATGAGCAGCAGTTGAATTAATGATCTGCTGGTTCTTGTTACACCACGTTTCGAACAATTAAGAGGCCTTGGCTGAGTGGCTGAAATAAGTCTTCCCCTGCACAAGGGGCACATGGATAAAAAAAATTTGAAGGGAATCAAAGGGTTATATACTATTATATGATCCTTCAGGCAATCAGAAACATCGGGCACTCGCCAGCATAAAATACGCATTTCATTGTACTGCAAGATTTGACTCAGCTACGAGTAGACTGTAGTTCAATGTACAGAGGTAATTTAAAATCAGTTCCTATAGATGTGAACATTCAATATCGGAAATCTCTTTTTAAAATGCTAAAATAGATAAAATACTAAACTGTTTCATATGAAACAACAATAGTTTTCAAAACAATGAGGTACCTCATCAGTGCTTACTATTCAGAAATTTTACAATTGAAATTCTATTTATAAAATAAGTTTCTTTAAAGTTTGCAGTTACTTTCTGCATTAACAGACTTGCAGAAAAAATACTAACAGAACAGCAGTTTTCCAGAACAGCCTTTTTAAATTGATCAGGGTATAGCAAACCTGATTCTGCACAGGTTCAGTTCTGCTAACATCACAAGTGGATCACTGTGTTCACATGCTTAATCCCACGACATCTCAAGTTATTCATGTCCTCCTTGGCGTTTGCAGGATTAGAATCTAAGTATGTTGTTTCCCCTGTCTCCCATCCTGTCAGTAAATGTGGGATCAGAGTTCAGAACGCGCCTGATTCTGTTCTCCTAATCTCTAGTAATCTTCTCAGTGACACTGTATCTGTTTCAGAATATCAGGAGGCTATATCAAAGGGGAACAGTTAGTGGAAACGTTAAGTTACTTCCATATTTATCAAAGCAGGCTCCATATGCTGCCGAGTGTTAAAACAATATCTATCACATACTTAAGTAGCACTAAATATTAAGGTCAATGTCACCTTAAAGTCAGGAACTTTTCTCACTCACAAAGCTTATTTGAAAATCATATAGGTTGTGTAGCCCAGGTGTGTTACTACTTTAGCTCCAGACGTGAAATTCAAGTTAATTCATGACTCAGAAAACACAACTACCACAGTGCTGCATACAAAGGTGGGTTTGTACAAAATTCCATACAGTTTTACAGTGTGAAAATTTAACTGGTAGATTCAACCAACAGAACCTTCTCCAGTGATTCTAAGGGGTGGGGAATAGAAGAGACTGTCATCCTTCTGTCATTTGTTTCATCAGGTAGCACAGAGCGAAGGAAAACAGTAAGACAGTTCATTTTGGCAGCACGGAATCCAAAACTGGGGCAGACACTCTACAAAGGGCGTTCCCAGTTGGAAACAAAATAATATCTGTCTATGGAAGTTTGATCATCTGCAGTGAATGAAACAGATACGAAAAGGATATGAAAAAGTTCAAGAAGGTGAAAAAACGTGCAAGCACTGAGACCTCGTTCAAATGTTAGTCATGCAAATATCTGTCCAAAGCCCATCTTCAGCTCAGAATTTGCGCAATACAGGTAATCTGCTCTCTTTATATGCGTATTCAAATGCCTGTTACTCAGCTGTTCTGCTGTCTGTACTGCCACAAGGCCAGATCTAATTACCATTAAACAAACCAGAAAGACTATCACTGGCTTCGGTCCTTGTTGAAATAATGCTGAAGTTATATTATACATGCTGGAAAAATCCAGATTACATTCAATTAATTTTTTTTTTTTTTTAATTCACAGGGTTGAGTCACTAGCAGACACTTGATATTTATAGAAGAAAAACCTTTCCTTTCCTCAGCTTTAATTAAGAAATTAATTAAGAAAAGCCTCACCCTTCATGCAATTGGCTCTGCTCTCAAGAGGTTAGCTGCCCATTCAATATCACAGGTTTAAATAAAATATTTCATTGAGTAAGAGTGATGTTTCCCAAAATCTCTCCTTGTTAGTTGCTTGTTAGGCAATTATATCATACACTTATACAGGCAGGGAATGCTGATGTTTAATTTTGGAAAACTACAATCTTATTTTGGGGAAAGTTCTTTAAAATTCAAAATAGGACAACAGTTGTTGACAGAGCTTAGCAGGCTGTTCAAGGAAATGTAGCAGAATAGAACTATGCTGCTTTTTAAATATTTATATCTTTTTAATCCTTGGAGCAGATAATCCTCTTTGCAGTAGGCAGGAATATGAATACCCTTGATTGTTTTTAAGTCCTTGCTTTTCAAAACTAAAATTGCAATCTTTTTTTGTGCCCTAAAATTTTACTGCAAATATTACTTAAAATTTTGCTTGGATCAATTTACCTTCCATAAGCAAAGCGTCTGTCTTTGTGGTGGTCCCCAAATGTATCCCACAGCCTGAGAGAAACACTCACTTCATCCACAACATCTCTTGAGCGTTCAAGGACCTAGAACAGAACACACATAAATAATATTCTCTTTTTTTTTCAAACAAGTACATTTCTAATTCGCCCCCTAAGAAGGTCCAAAGCATACTAGACCAAGAGTTTATCACACACAGTTTTCAGTGAATGCTGTGTTTTATAAAACAGGTAGAATATGCATCTTCTTAAAAACAGGTTTCATAAAAAAGGAACATGTTGGAATGAAAGACTTGGGGAGGTGCGTGTCAGACGTGCAGCAGACACAGACCATGCATGAAATACTTCTGAGCTCATTGCTGCAGCCTGACAAAGAAAGGCTTGCCAGTAAAAAACAGTACAACATCATAGCATGTGGTCCGTAATTTGTACGCCTGCAGTCCTTACCTCTTGGCAGACACGGTACTGATCAATGGCCCAGACAGTTGGTACGTGAGTTGCCAGCAGCTGATACTGAGTCAAGGTTGTATTGCACGCTCTTGCACAAATTAGACGAGTCTTTCCCACTGCATTATCTCCAACCACCACACACTTGATAGTTTCAACGTTGGGTCTTTCGTAGTCCATGTCAGTGTCCATTTATCAAAAACTGTAACAACACAGTTAAACTTGTTATCTACTACTGTCCAAAACCAGTGCCACTTATAATCAGAGCCTTCTGCTTCCACTTCTTGAGAGATGCCTGAAGAGGACAAACTCTTAAGGAAAAGCTTGCAGTAAACCATACCAAAGTAAGCTAGCAATTCCTTTAAATACCACACAGTTATGCAAATGCACAACTATTATGACCAGAGTCAGTTTATGCTGTTCACATGCTATTTTTACTTTGATTTCTGTAAACACAAGCCTGTTTGCAGAAGATGGATCTTGGTGAAACAAGGATAGCTTGCACAAACTTACCTCTTGCTAATACTTTTTGTGCCACGAAGGAGAAAAGACTGGACATCGGTGGGTTTAACCCAAAGGATTCCAGTACAAACCTGTCTTCTCTAATCTCGCCCATTCAGGATTTGATTTAGGGCTGTCCAAACAATATTGCTAACAGCAAGTCACACAGATGGCTTTAGTTATATGCACACAATAAAACTGACTTGTAAGATGACTCCAGAGGCTTTTTTTATCATCCACTCTTCATTTTCCAAGGAGAAGTTTGTACAGATTACAGATCATAGACTAAAATGAAACCAAACAGCCCAGTAGGAACTTGCAAATATTCTTATCTGTATCTACAAAATTCTTTTTCACATGACAATGGAAAGCAAAGTGAAGGAAATCTTTGAAGATACTGTCCTCATGGAACTTTATTATTGAAAATATTTACTTAAATAGGCTATGGCAGTATATTGAACAAATGCTTGGATACGAATATAGGCTGGAAAAAATGGATATTTGAAAAACTAAAAACAGTCTGTCATTTTCATATAAAGGAGTGTGGGATCATAGTTTGATATATTTGATTTTGGTTTTCTAACATCTAGTAGTCTGCTGAGCAATCTGGGCTCTGCCAGGGAATTGTAATCCAGGAGGGAGAAACAGGAAAATGTAAAGCACAAACATGTTCAGGAAGACTTGCTTAAAAATTATTTCAGTGAGGAAACCTACAGCAATTTAATTGACAAAACACAGTCATCATCTGGAGTGATGGTGTCCTTTTTCCTGAGAAGAAAGCACTACAGATAAAGACACAAAATGATATGTTTTAATAACTTTTTTAATTCACATCTCATTCGCACATAAATACAGAATATATATTAACTGTCAGGCTGTTTAAAATAGTAGATACAAGCTGTTCTGGTGTCCATTTTTCACTGTCAGAGGCACTATGTTCTGATTTAAGAAAAAGCATGTTTAGTAATTACTAGCCAAACACTAATTTTAACGGCATTCTTTCACTATTTAAAGTGACGTAAACCAAGAAACAAAAGTCAGTGTTAGAACTAAATGTTACCCATTTATTTAAAATTTTAAGCATGGACTGCATATTAATAGCTATAATGGTTAAGGCAGAGTTACAATCTTTATTCACCTGTGGACCGGAGGAGTTAGGGACCACACAGGCAGCAAGGTGCAAGGGTGAGTTTATGACATTACTGCGTCACACTGATATGTTCTGACAAACATTGAATGTTTCTGGAAATTTTATAGCACAGACTAGTGTGTAAGAATACATTTTAGAGAGTTGTCCTACACTAGACTGAAACATGGGCTGAGAAACTCCTCATCCTGGCATAAGTACATGGTTGCACAACTAGAGTTTTGCAATCTGTTACCTGTCTGCGATCCAACGACAGCTGCTCGTTGGATGCAAGCTCCCATGAGGCTGATACCTGGGATGGCCCACGGGCTCTGTACCATCTCCATGCATCCAAATACAAGATGAGAAATGAGAGCTAACTCCTCTTTCCTCCTCTGCATCCTTTCCAAGAATACAGTCATGATATAAACAAAAGTACAAAACCAATATGGTTTTTTTCCACATCAGAGAGAATGAGACATTCGTACGTCACGGCCTCAGAGGCAGGGCCCTGAATGAGTAGCAAAAACCCAAGAGGTTTCAGTAAATGGTCTAAAAAAGTTTCATTCCAAGCCTGAGAATAAACAGCAACCTCCTGACATAATATGTGTTATTAAATTACTTCATATTTTATTCATGCATGGACTAGACATCACAGATGGAACGTGGAAATGTTTACAAGGCTGGAAAACAAAATGAAACAGCACGGCTAGCCAGTGTGTCTGCTTGGTTTTAAACTACCAAGCAGAGAGATGCCAAACCAATTTTTCTTCCAAACCAATATTTCACTAAAATGCTGTCACACAGATTAGCTGAGGTTTTACATAACAATCTGATTTCAAAATTCTTCAAAAGTTCTCAAATGCTAGTTCTGCAAAAATGCACTTCAGTCAGTCACAAAATACGTATTAAGTACAGAGTCTGTAATCTTAAAAAAATTTCCAAGAGGATGACAAAATGACTTTAAAATTAATAAGCAAATCTAAATAAAAGTAACAAGACAAATCAATACAATTGTTTGAGAATCCTAGAAAAAGAACACATGAAAGTAAAATTTTAAAATTATTATTTTAAAAATCTCTAACATAATTACTAACTTAATTAAAGCAGAGTTATCACAGAAATCAGACACAGCATGCTCGAATGCCCTGTTGTAGATCAATGGCAGTCTAACGAAGACACTTTTAGCATGACTCAACACTGCACAGGACAGATAAATACAAACTGGAAATAAAACTAGAGCTTTGTGATTATGTTAAAGAAAGTTCTTAAATCCATTCCAGTGAATATATAAAGCATCTATGTATTAAAAATGCAGATCGTTTTAAAATTGTTCACTAATTTTCAGAAAGCGAGTAAAACAGAAATACCTCCTGAAGAAACTGACAGACAGAAGCCTGGACAGATATTTAGACACCTCAAACAAAAACCGATGCTAACAACAAATTCCAGTAAAAACAATTAGCAAAACGTGTGGACTAAATGCTTACAAAAGTAGCCAGCAGCCTTCTGGCCAAAATTATTAAAGCCACGAATACGTACAAGATCTTAAAAATACAGCCAAGGTCAGTTTTTTTAAGGTAGCCTCTAGGTTAAGCTTCTGCTAAACCTATTATATAATCACACTGATCAAAAATGCTAAAAATGTATTCACAAAACTTAAACAAAAAAAAAGAAAGATCTAGATTTGAGCTCTGAAAGTCTGGTAACATCTGGGAAGAGGAACTGGAACTGAAACAAAATTGGTTAGACAAGGGTAAACCAGTGTATATAAAGCTTCATTTAAAAAATCAGCATAAACTTCCAAGACCAATGAAAAACTTGCTAAAACCAACTTACAGCCTGCAACAGTTTGCCAACAAAACAAAATAAGGTAAAGTAAGAGGAAAGTTACTGGAAGTGTGACTAGTCTCAGAGAGGACACTGCCAAAAAAGCCAGTCAGAAAGGCCATCAAATGAGCAGCAGCAAGAAACCTACTAGGGGAAAGAGCTGATCAATTATGGCTGTTCCCAGAAGAATGCAGTGAAAGATTCACCTGCCTAATCCAATTCTAAAGAAAAATGAGTAGGAGGATGGAAATGAAAAAAAGATAACTGCAAGAATAACACAGGATCTCAAAAATCTCTAGGATGTTTCTATTTTTACATTGTGACCTGTGATTGTTCACAGATGCAGAGACAGAGGCAGCCAAAAATCAGAAGACGTGAGTAGACTCAAGATCTAAGACAAAGCCATTTAATTAATTCACTTGATTAGCAGAACAGAACTATTCCAAACAAAGCTGACTTGTTTCCAAAGAAGTATAAGGTTATTGTTCTGAACTATGGCTTGCAGATGGTTATGGTCACTGATTGCTTTCTCTGTCGCTTCACCTCAAATTGCTGTAGGGTGCTTGGTTTTTTGTTTAGTTTTTCCCCATTGCTGAATGAGTTATTATTATCACTAAAAACAGTTGTGGTTGCCATAGCATGCAGATCCTTCTAGCTAGGCAGCCTCAGTAATGAAATACTGCCTTTCTCGAGAAATTTTCCAAAAGATCTGTACATGAAGCATATCATTGGATTATCTAGCCCACTGGTACACAGATTAAACACAATAGATACACAAAATCTCTCTCTCTCTCTATGTTTTAATGTAGGTGTATTTATATACAAAAGGTAAGAAGATCCTAACCATGAACTTGCCTTGTTTTAAGAATGCAGTTTAATATATTTAAAGCTATAATTGCATTTAACTCTGCTGGAAAGAAAGTGGATGAAGATACAAACACAACAGTGAGTTCCCTGTGCAGGATCAGGAATCCAGCCCTATGGATCTCGCTGCCTATGCAGGTAATTGCCCATTTTGATTATTTCCAGATATTTTAAATCATCTCTTAGCATATACAAAACATAATCAAGATTTTTTTCAAAGCACAGTAGCTAATTATCAACCCTTTTCTCTTCAGCAAAACACCACAAACAAATCACTAAGAGTGTCTACATTAATCAGTGATTATAGAGTGATCCTGCAGGCAGTTACTTCTTAGCTCAGTACTTAAACACGTCCTGTAAGATTGAGATAGCACCTCTCAGCATGAAAACAAGCAAGCACGTTACTTCGCTCTTGTGTTAAGAGCAAACTCTTCAGCTGAATGTTCAGAGAGACACCATGTAAGAGCCTTGCCTGCTCAATGAAGTTTAAGGTATGCCATAGAAAAAAATATAATAATTCCAACCTGTCTCAAGTAATCTGACCAAACATATAAACCAGGAAGTCCTTCAGACAAACAGGCTGCCAAACACAACTACAACATCATCATTTTATTCAAGGAATTTAACAGAAAGAGACATCAAAAATCTACCACCACCTAATATGAATGGTGCAAGTGGGAACTATTTGAAAAACTCAGGGCACCAGTAAGGTAGTAAGACCATCAACAATTATCCCTGAAAAACACACTCTTTGGAAACTATATGAAAGAGCATTTGTAGGTACTCCATATTTAAATTCATTCTGGAGATGTATTTTTGAGTACAGTTTTGGAGTGACTCCTTCAGAGAGCCATTACACAGCAACATAGCA